TTGTATGTTAACTAACCTTAAAAAGTATCCTAAGGAGAATCGATGGGGAAATCCAACTATTAACAGAAACTGTAACTTTCGACTGGCTAAATGTAAATTCCAAGACAGATTTTCGGTAAGTGCTTATGAGTTACATCTCTTTCATGGCAATCTGTGGCTGACTTTGTTTTAACGTGTGATTGCTGCATCTTGAATTATGATAGCCTTGCGTATACATGACTAGCCTGTGGCCTCTCATTGTAGGCTTTTCTATAGGCATATATCATCAGAAATATCAGGATAAATGGGGGACTGTAAGTTATGAAAATGAGTGATCCTTAAACTGTCAATTCTCTTCTGGGTAGTGCCATCTCTTATGCAATTTGTTTGTAATAACATTAACTTTTGCATACTAATGTATGCTCCTGTGAGCCATATTCTGCTGCAACCTGTGATAGGATCCATAATTTACAAGTTACATATACTTTTAACACGTGGTTGATGTAGTCACGTAGATTGTAATTACAGAAGGAATGTTGAATGCAAGATTTAGTTGTTATTATTCTTTCTGGATCACTTCCTCAATTTTCCCTCTTCTTTTATTGCATGAAGAGGCTATTCACATTTATATGTTTCTAATGACAAGAAAAAAGTTCTTATTTTCTTCAATCAATGCACAGAGATTGCCCAGAAGATTGCAGGGAAGCTGTATCATCTCTGATGTTTGCAGCTGCAAGATTCTCTGATTTGCCAGAGTTGCGTGATCTCAGGCAAATATTTCATGAAAGATATGGAAATTCCCTGGAATTATTTGTCAACAAACAGGTAATTTCCGTTTATCTGCCCCAAAAAGTGACTGATTTATGTCTTTGTCAGTGCTTTTCTTTGACCAACGTTATAAAATTTGATGATAGCTTGTCGAGAATTCTGCTTCAAATTCTTTCACAATGGAAAAGAAAGTCAAGGTAATGCATGATATAGCATCCGAGTTTTCCATAAAATGGGACTCTGAAGCTTTTAAGCAAAGAATGTCTAAACCTACTGTGATTCCACAGGTATGCTCCATCTTGTATTTTATCTTTACCTTTTAGGCATTCTCATTGAGCTTCCCATGCGGTATCCTCACAGTGGAACTCTTGATCTCCGGCATTGTTATACAGGACCAACCTAAAAATCATGGCTCTTTCCATGTTAATGGTCATAATCATAAACCAAACGGTGGAAGGAGTGCTGATCAACGAGAGGAAAATTCTGAAGTTTCATCTAAAGAAAAACTCGTAGCAGGTAAAGCTGGGCACAGATTGGGCAACTCTAAGGAGGATAGTGCCTCAAAAAGGGGTGAGATCGGCCTTCCACCTAAACAGGAATTCATTGTTGATGGGTACCATCCACATCATGGTAGGGAGCAAGCTACTGCAAGGAAGGAGACTCAAGACATTCCTTTACGGCAAAATCAAGAAGTATCTGCCGGCAAGCTTGACTATTGGAATGGGAATGATGTTGTCTTGAAAACAGCAAGATTAAGGAGTTCCTCGCATGGGAAAAGAACGGAGAGGGCTGATGTTGGAGCCAAACTACAAGATGGTAGGCAGAATGGTACACCTAGAAGAGATAACCAAGATGTTCCACCCGAGAGAAAGCCAGGGCAAAGTCGTAGTTATGCAGATCCTTGGTCAAAGAGTCGTGATAAAGACCAGTCTTCTGCTAATAACCATGGTCGCCAGTACAGTTTTCCAAATTCAACGAGAAAAACTCACAAGGAAGATGAACCCAAGTGGAAGTCCCACTTAAATAGTGGCATCCCTCCTCCTTATGTTAAACCCAGTACCAAACCGAAGGATCGCAGGCATGACGATGCTGATTTAGGATCATCACTTGCAGCTTCTACTGATCGTTCAACTCATGACCGGGCATATGAAGTTAATAGCGCTGATAAGTATCAAGACGGGTTATATCATCCTGATAAAGAGGGGAAGATAATTCCACCTGCTACTGTGAATGGTCATGATCGTGTTCGTGATAAAGATTATTACTATAATCATGATGGAAGTGATGCTCCTATACCAAGACGAAGATCTTCTCGAAGGCGACATAAATCATCTTCCAATCATTCCGAACTCAATAATGCCGAATACCTTGAACCTGCAAGGAGTAGAAGAACAAGAAGCATGAGAAAGGAGGACTCAAGACGAGGTCTGCAAATTTTATTTGATGACGAGCAGCATAAAGACGGTGAGGAGGAAAGGATAATTGACAAGCTATTGATACATTATAGTAAAAGCCACCATCCGGTGTAGAGGGAATGATAAGTAGAAAGTCTAAAAGCCGTCATGCACATCATAGGGGAAGTGATGTGGGTGATTGTGATGCTCCTCGGAAATCAAGCAGGGATAGATCTGATGATACATCCGAGACCGTTTCCTATCCAGCTCGATCAGTATCTCTCCCGCATGCACAGACGGCCGAATCAGAGGGGACCAAAGTGTATGCTCGTGCTGCTTCGTTTCAGCCAGATAGGTCGAATGCAGCCCAGCATGTGCATCCGAAGTTACCCGATTATGACGATTTGGCAGCTCACTTCGCGACAATGAAAGGAAGATAGACCTCTAAACCATACTGAATCATTCATTTTATCTAATCACTTTGATTGCGTTGCTATTGCCTATCGCATAGTAGTTTGAAGAGTATGCCTTCTAATGTGTTTATAGCACTTGTATTACAATATTTGTGACCAATGGCCTTAACAAGCCTTTATAGTGTTAAACACTTGCTGCATATTCCGGTGACCAGAATCAATATCACCTTCTTCATTTTCGAAATATCATAAAGTCAAAACCAAATTTTAGAAGTTCTCTTTTATTTTTAATATTCAACCTAAAATCAAACATTAAATTCTCTATTAGTTCAGTTATAATCCAAAAATAATGATTTAATACAATCATAGAATAACAAAACAAATAAGTTTTATAGTGATGAAAGAGGCCAAATTTCCATCTATTGTCATTCAAAGAGAAAGTACACTGAAACATTGAAAATTAATAATTTAGAAGATAACAATAATTTTTCATCTTGATTCACCACAAAAAAAAACAAAGTAAAAAGACAACAAACTAGAGGTTTGGCCATGGCAAATTTTGAACACTTGTGGGCATTGTTTAGATGATCTTAAAAGTAAAGTAGTTCATCATGATACAAACAAAATAAAGATACAAATAAATCTGAATGCATTGGAAAACAAATCACAAAAAGGGATAAAGCTATTGAAATACTATCGACAAATGCAAATCAGAGTCCATCGACGTGAGAAAACTATCCACGAACGCAAAACGCGTATCCAAAACAATCCGAAGATTTAAAGCAAGAAAGATAATATGATAACAAATAAGCGTCATCTTGATCAGTCGTGTTAATGTCAAATTCAACCATGAGAAAAAAGATAAATAAAAACAACGTCAAAAATCGTAAGCTACCAAAGATAAAGACAAATGGGTCATAAAGGCAGATAACATGTCACAAAGACACAATTATTCTTATTAAAAAAATTAAAAAAACAAAGAAAAAAAGATAATCGTTGGGCGACAACCAATATTAAAACTGGTGATGTCGCCGGTTAAACAAAATTAAAGAAGAAAAAATTAAATTGATTAATAAAATTGACACAAGTTATAAATAAGAAAAAAAAGGAAAAATAGAGGAGGAAGAGGAAGAAAGCAACTCGAAATAGTAAATCATTTTATCATTAAAATTAAAATATATATTTAATATGACCTGATATATAATATTTTATCATTGATAATGTATATATCTTACTAATATAATTATTTAGACCTAAATTACAAAAATAATATTTTTATCATATTAGACATATATTATTTATTTTATTTTATTAATAGACTATTATATTAAATTATTTTAAATTAATATCAAATTAATAAAATGTATAAATTTAAAAAATGAATAATTATTATACTATTTTATATTAGACATATATTTTATTTTAATGACTAATTGATATAGTTGTAATACTATTTTAATTAAGCAACTTAATTGTAACTTTTAGAAATAAAATAACTTATTTATAATAAAACTAATAATTTGACAAATATGTAAGTTAAAAGGCTTAAATATACAAAAGGTATCAAATGTATGTTTTTTATTTCAGTTTAGTGTCTAATGTTTATTTTATTCTAGTTTGGTGCCTAACGTTTCATTTCGTAATTCAAATTGGGTCAGGGCATGACATACCGTTAATTTTGGTCGTTAAGTGACACGTGTCACAACCTGGTAATTTTAAAAAAGTTTATTTAAAATTAAAAAAAAAATTAAAATTATATATATTTAAAAGAAAACACAAATTTTGAAATAAATCCACAACTTTTAAAACCCTCATTTCAACTCCTAAACCCACGTCGACCGTCGCCTTTTGCAGTCGACGAAGTTCCACCGACCTCCCCTCTCCTTAGCGACTAGAAACCCCCATGAAATCATGATCGAACGACGGTTGATTGGCCGTCACAATCATGTGGGATCGTGATTCTTATCGTCGTGGGAGTATAAAACGTTGATTCGTTATCGATAGACCATCAATCGATCAATATTTTATGGGGGTTTTGGTTGTTGAGGGAGGAGAGGTCAAGTGGAACTTCGTTAACGGCAAAAGACGACGATCGACGTGGGTTTAGAGGTTGAAATGAATGTTTTCAAAATTTTGGGTTTATTTCAAAATTTGTGTTTTCTTTTAAATATATATATTTAAAATTATATATATAATTTTAAATTTTAAATAAATTTTTTAAAATTATTAGGTTATGAAACGTGTTACTAAACGAAGAAATTAACGTCGTTGATAGTCCGGACACCTAAATGAATAACATAATAAAATATTAGACATCAAATTAAAACGAAATAAACATTATACACTAAACTAGAACCAAATGCATACGTTTTGCACCATTTGTATATTTAATCCAAGCTAAAACGACAACGTAGTACACCCAAGAAGCGTCCACATCTAACAAAGCAACACCGGCAAAACCGACGACTAGACAGCAGCGAAGATGTCGAAACAGGATTTACGAGAATCGTCCGTACCCTACACCCGACTCCCTCCAAACCCTAACCACCAAAACGTCATCGTTTTACCCGTCTATTACCACCGCCCTTACGATAACTTCCGTTGTCTCCGCTGTTCCCTCGCGATTGCCGCCGCCGCCGTCCTCTTTTCCGCCGCCGCTTTCTTCCTTTACCCTTCCGATCCAGCTCTCGAACTATCCCGTATCAAACTCAACCACATCGAAGTCCACTCGTCGCCCAAACCCACCCTCGATCTCTCCTTTTCGTTGACAATCAGGGTCCGCAATAGAGATTTCTTTTCCTTGGACTACGATAAGATCGTCGTTTCGGTTGGGTATAGAGGGAGGGAACTTGGAGCGGTGAGCTCAGCAGGAGGGCGCGTGAGAGCAAGAGGGAGCTCGTACGTGAACGCCACGCTCGATTTGGATGGACTTGAAGTTGTTCATGATGTGATTTATTTACTTTCCGATTGGGTTAAAGGGGTTATTCCCTTTGATACGAATACTAAAGTTGATGGAGATCTTGGCCTTTTTCTCTTTAAAATTCCCCTCAAGGTGAGCCTTTAATTATCGTCTCCTCGAATTTGATTCTGCGAATCTGATTTCAATTTGATGGTTTATTAGGTTCGAAGAGTATAGTTTCATAATTCAAACATTTCGCCCATTTTAGGTTCTGGGTTTTATTCTGCTTTGGCTACTGTGTTTTAGTTAATGATGCTCTTAGCTATTTGAAAGAACCCTGGATAAATCCCAAAACAATTTGAATAGGCTTATGCGTTTTGAACTTGTTAAGGCTCTCTATATATCTCTAGAAAAGAGCAGTAATTACTTGTTTATAGAAGTTGAAGCCTGGATAAATCCTTTAATGAAACCATCAAGAGAGAGATTATTTTCCAAGTGAAAATAGTTTGTCAGTGAAGATTAGTAGAATCGGATGGTTGTTGGACTTGTTAGAGCTCTGTGACTAAAGGTATAAGCATGATTATGGAGTGTATAAAATTTATGCCATGTATATTAACTCTTGTTTGTGGCTTTTTGCTAAGAGAATGAAGACTGAAGAGACCTCTGAAACTCTAGTACTCGGTTGAGTTTAAGCATAAATGTATAAGGGCATTTATGGTTTAGTGAACAACAGAATATGCAGAAATTCTTTTAAAGTAAAAAAACTTTATCCTTTCTTTTTTGAGGGGGCTATGGCTTTGTTGGTGGATTGTTGATATGGCTTTTTCTAATTAGCTATGTAAGCTGATGTATGGTCTCTAACTTCAATAATGTAATGACTTAATGCTATAAGTAGTTAAAATTTGGGTCGTCCGATGAAATCACAAAGCATGCCTATTGTTTAGCCCAAATTACAAGGATATGATAAACAAGGTTGGTTGATAGATTGACCAAGGATTAGTGGTTCCACGATTCCGGTTCCTTTTTATTATTGGATTCTATTTTATGATTTGTCAGCCTTAGTCTATAGATACATGATGTTCATAATAGCACAACCATAGCCAGTGGAACTTTTAAGCATTCTTAGTTTTTGGAATTCTTTTCATAAGTGTGTTTTTTTTTTTGATAGAATCTTTTCATAAGTGTTATACATATAACTTTAGTATGTGTTTAATATTTAGTTGAAAATACAAAGTTTTTAAGCACCCGAAAGTGTCTATTAGTATTGAACGGAGATGCTCCATACCCCCCTCCCTTTTGTTTTCTTTCTGTTCTGAGGATTGGTTTTTGTTAGCCTTGTTTTCTGTAGTTAATATTTTTCTTATTTTCGGGTGTTCTTCACTCCGAGACATTTTGTAGTTGTTTTAAGTAGTTATTCACAATGAATGAGAATGCTCAGTGCTTTAACCATCTTTAATTTTTTGCTATCTATGATGTTTCAGGAAAAAGTATCATGTGAGGTGTATGTGAATACAAGTAACCAGACAATTGTTCGTCAGGACTGCTATGCTGAGGTGAGGAATCAACTCGAAGGATACACTGCTAAGACCAGTTTTGCTTCCTTGCCATCTATAAGAAAAGTCTTTCTTCTATACCCGATTGCCCATTTTTTTAATGAAAGATCCATTCACTGATAACCCTATAATGGTTTGTAATTTGCAGTAATGTGGTGGACAGTGGATGTACTAGAAGTGGGAAACAGATTCAGATGCTGCTTTGATTTGGTTCCTCATTATACTGTATATGCGAATGTAAATTATCATAGTTCAGTTATCGAATAAGGTTCTGTATCCCCAAAGTACTTTTTTTCTTGCTCGGCAAGTAAGTGCGTATAGCTAGGAATTGTAAACCCATGATTGTGGCTTACCTTCTGGTACTATAAAATTGAGATGCAATTGAATTGAGATTCCAGCTTTGCACAGATAGACTATTCTACTGTTCTGCAGTTAGTTTCCTTCAAGCTGAGTAAGGAGAATAATTGTTAGATGAAATCCGAAAGATAATAGATTTTTACAGTTTTCCTTCGTTCCTTTATTCACAATTACAGTAAGTAAGAGATGATATCGAAATTTGAACTCCGATCCTTGAGGTGCACGATGGTTGGCGGCAGCCAGCATCGATGCCTGCAAAACGAACCATCTGCGTTGCACCAGCAACCCCGGTTTGCCACCACAAGGAACATCAGCGTAACACATTAGATTCCCCCTTCACTCTGGGTATTATTATGATGTACAGAGTTTGTAAAGCAAAGAATCAGTGTGCATGTGAGACTACATATAAAGAGAAGGAAAAGGAAAAGGAACAAGGCATAAAGCAGTGTTTTTTTCCCTGATAGATTCCATAAATGCTTTTGCTTTACTAGATGGGTTATTAGAGAGACTGGTCCAAAAGCATATGGCCACTTGTTGAAAAACATGACCTAATAAAACGATTCTCGCCCGCCAATCACCATGATTCCCCGGTTCAACATCAGTGCTGCCACGTGCTTCTGTGGCCATGGATTTGTTGTTTGTGTTACACTGGGTTTTGTGTTTTTTCTTTTTCTTTGTTTGCACAATGAAGAGATGACCTTTTGGAAACTTCCTAATCTGTTCCTCGTCAGAAAGTGGGTTAGTCTTGCTGGAATTTGCCAAAAATGGCGTCTACTTGGCTGTATATTACATTATTACTGCAGTTCCATATTACTAGGAGGAAAAAGGATGGTAGTAGGTTGGTTTCTGACTAAGAATTGGATCGGAACTGAACAGACTATGACAGGACTCTAATCGTGAATAATAATTGATATTAATGTTCTAAATTTATAACTTCATACTGCCGGCGTTTCTATCAAAAAATCACTCTTATACACAATAATTATCTGTTAGAAACCTTCTCTTTTAATATAACCTATCTAGCATTCTTTCTGACATGGTGATAAAAAAAAGCGGATCGTCAATCGCGCTTTCGCGAGATTTTTTCCAAGCTAGCACCATGTAAAAAAAGGCGCAGATCGTCAGACGTTCAGTGAAGGTGCGGATGGTCATCTGCGCATTTGTTTACGCGGCGTCAGTTCGAACAGAACCCCGAAAGCGTGACTGACAATTCACACTTTATTGTCATTGTGTCAGAAAATGTGCTAGATCGATAGTATTAGGGGAGAGGGTATTTGTGAGGTAATTATTGGGTCTAAGGGTGTTTTTTTTAGTAGAAACACCGATACAATGTGACGAATGATAACTTTATTAATAGTTTTGTACAACTTACTTTAAATGTATATAAGCATGAATGCATCTAGTGACCTCATTTATTAAAAGGAGTATTATTCTTCTTAGAAGTTATGAATTTGGGTAATTGACTAATTACGTATGCAAGTGTATGTGTGTTATAAATGACTAAGAAAAAACACATATATTATCTTATAATCATCCTAAATTATATAAAAAAAATATAAATAAAATACACTCCATATCTATAAACCCACACATCAATTTTTTTTATATATATTACTTTACAAATTAATAAAAGGGTAAATTACACGTTTAATACCTAAATTATCAGTTTGGATCCATTTTAGTACCTAAACTTTTAATTTTTTTCAAAATCATACCTAACGTTTAATTTTTATTTTGTTTTAGTATCTCTCCGTTAAATGCTTAACGAGTGATATGCACGTGACACCTTTTTACGGGTAAAATACATCATTCATCACCCAATTATATTCTCACTTATATTTTGGTCACTAAAGTTTATTTTTAAATTTAATTACTTAATTTTCAAATTTATTTTTTATATATTAATAAAATAATAAAAATAAATGCCATATCACAAAAATTATTAATAAATAAATTAGAGTGATTAAAATAGGAGCAATTTGAAAATTGAATAGTTAAATTGAATTTTTTAAATTTTAATACCAAAATAGGATTAAGAAGATAATTGAGTGATGAATGATGTAATTTACCGATAAAAATGCAATGTCATTTTTAGGTACTAAAATGAGGTATGTTTTGAAAAAACTAAAAGTGTAAGTACTAAAACGAATTAAAACTGATAGTTAGGTACTGAACGCATAATTCATCCTTAATAAAGACTTACATCAATTTTATTTTTAAAATATATAAACTCAAGGACTCAGAATATAATTTTACCCAAAGCCGGCGAAACGAGATGATGACAAACGAAAATCGAAAGGCCTCTATGTCGGGTTAGGCTTCAAACCCACGTTTTTGAAACACCAAAGGCCTTGGAAGCCGCCAACCGAGTCAATAAACCCACGCCCGACGACCACCACGCGTTCGTCAAAATGCCAATACCGATTTCCACTTTCCTGGAAATTGCCTGCTCCCCCAATATAAATGCCATCAAACCCCCTCAAAATTTCATCATCATCTCTCCCGTAAGCACTCCCGGAGTATATTCAACCGTTAATCCGGTGGGAAAATAAATGCCCAGAAAAAAAACGCTTTTGTTTCCGTATCCTTTTGAGAAAACTCCGTTTGGTTTAAATTCCTTTGTTTGTTTATTCGAAGATGAGTTCAATGAAGTTTCACGTTGTTCCGGCGGCCATTGGGTTGGTGTTATTAGCGCTTGTGCAGCTGAGTTACGAGCAAGCCATGGGCTCTCCCCCGGCACCTGCTCCGTCCAGCGATGGTGCCGCGATTGATCAGGGGATTGCTTACTTTCTCCTTTTACTTGCCCTGGCAGTTACATACCTGGTCCATTGATTTTGTCATGTATTTTCTTTCTCTCCATGGATTCGGCCTGGGAAATTGCAGCACTCTTGTACGTTGTTCCCGTGTATTGTAAATAGCGTCCTATACAGCAATACTCCATTACTTTACAGAGTAACATCAATTACCAAAATGTTATATTTATGTGTTCTGATCAAAGTGATGGGCCGAAATTATGGATCTTACAAGGCCCATAAGCAGTAATATCAATTAGTTTTGGTGAACCCGAGATTGTATGCGCAATCTAATGTTAATTATAAGGATAGATTATAAATTGGCTTAAAGTATAAATAAATAATTAAATTATCATTTTTTTATATAAACTCTATTTTTTGTTCAAGTCCTTAAACTATTATATTTAATTATTTTAAATCATAATAATTTTTAATTAAAAAATTGTTTATTGACTATTAAGAGAATGACACGTCAAATAAAATTAGAAACTTGTTTTGACAAAAAAGTATTTTAAAGGCTTAAAAAATAGACATAGTTTAGGAACTTATTTTGACCAAAAAAATTGTTAAGTCACATAAAGTAATTACATATAATAATTTAAAAACATATTTTTTACTAAAAAAATAATTTAAATACTAAAAAAATATAATTTACGTTTTTTCTTTTTTTTAGTTCAAGCCTTATTTATGGATTCCATTGCTTTAATTTTTCTTTTTAACTCTTATTTTGTTGAATTTTAAAATCACTTTAAAACTTACAAGTTTCAACTTAATTTTTAAAATTCATAAAATCTTAAACCATTATGATATATGATATCTATCACCTAATCAACTTAAAATCAAGAAACTTCAGTGGTTAAAAGATTATTATTTCTTGATATCCCGTATTCGAATACAAGCTTATATAAAAATATGAAAATTCATTTTCAAATGGTTGAGATACTTTTAACATATACTTTTAAAAATAAAAAATAATCTAAGTGATAAATTATTTTAACAAAAAATAACTCTTTCTCTTTACTATTAATACATAAAATAATTTATCCAATTTTTCAATGAAATTCCAATTTTCACTTGTAAATATGATAAATTTTATTATGAAATGATGATTTTATTAATAGAAGTTAAGGCAAAGTATAAATAGTCCCAATACTTTTAGAGCATTTGTATTTTGGTCATTTAACTTTTGAAACTTGCAATACAATCGTCGAAGTTTTAGTTCGATTTTAGTATTGTTGCATCCAATTAATTTTTATCGATGTGACACTAACTCGCGATAAGTCTCCCATTCTTCTTCTTCTTCTTCTTCGGCTGTTGGGATCAAATAGCAACATCATATCTAACCTATAGTTTGCAAACTTCAAATAATTCAGATTCATAAAAGATTTTGATTGATAAAAAGAAAGAAAAAATCAAGTTCCACCGAAAGAAAAGATTCATCTTTTACCCTTCTTCTCCTGTAAATGCTTCAATCTCTCTTTCTCCTTCATTCTCCTTCCACTCCCCTCCATAACCCACCATCTTCTTCCCCAATTTCCCTTCTTCAAAAAACCCAGTTTCCCCCCAGTTGCAGTGTCCATTTTCGGCCATTGTTAGCGGCTCGAGAACCCTTAATCACCACCAAATCAAAAGCTGAAGAAGAAGGAAATGATCCTATTGAGTTGCCACCATCTTATTCATCTTTCTCTTCTTCTTTTTCGCTCCAAACGGCCACCACCGTTTTGCTCTCCGGTGCCATCGTTGCCTTCATGTTACGATCCATTAGACGACGTGCTAAGCGTGCTAAAGAGCTTGTGAGTACCCCTTCTAGTCTTTTATATGAAATAATAATAAAATCATGGGTGATGGGGATGGTTCTACCAAGTTATGGATAGAAGAAGAAGAACGAGAGTTAACGGCAGTTGAGTGTCATCTTAAAAAACTAACCGGAGATAACAAGAGGGACTTTATTGAAAACGAATTAAAATTTTGATGATGGTATTGTAATTTTCAAAAATTGGGAGACCAAAATGCAAGCACCCTAAAAGTTAATATACTATTTATATACTTTACCCTAAAAGTTAAAATGAAAAAAATAATAAACATATTATCATAAATAATAAGGTAAATGATATTTTAGTCATCCCAAAACACCTTTAACAAATTAGTGCACTAGTTCATGATAACCAAATAGGAATCGATTAGGTCCTTCCACGTAATT